TTTGACTGTCTCTGACTTTTGACCGACATCACTCTTTCTCATTTCAGGTAGCGTGTCAGGGACCTCTTGACTGCACGGACCCATCCTCTGCCAAGGTAAAGAGTCATCACGAGCTTCACTACAAGTGTACCGCGGCGAACTGGACTTGAAAGGAGCGTGTTGTTCTGGTCTACAGACACACATCTTCTTCAACATCTTCCTTTAAACTCCTCCATATTTCCCATCTTTAAAACTCTTCTATCTTGCCAGTAATTAATCTAGAAGCCTTCAGAAATTTCTGTTGTTTTTATTAAGTAAAACGTGCCAAATTTTATTAATCAGAACCAGACCAGTCTAATCAAGTGTACAAGGTTTTGATGTTAAATTTTGATTCTGTTAATAAATGACCACATTTATTTTCATGGGTCAAAGAAAATTAACGTCTCATGTCACTGATTAAACCATCTACGTACAGTACCTCTGTCACATGGCACAATTAGCTCGAAAAAGAGAGAACTCGTTATTTAAATATGACTGTAGTGTAGCTCTGAAGCTAACCTAGCCTTTTAGAACACTACATCTGGTGGCCCGTACGGTCTTTAAAGAGCTTCTCGTGGCCCGCATGGTCTCTAAAAGAGATAATTTAGGACCTATCCTCCTCTTTAGACATTTTGTGGCCGTACGAATGTTTAAAGAGGTGTGAATTATATGTGACGGAGTCTGTGTTATTGTAGCATAACGCTCATGTTGGCATGGTTGAAAAGGTCCAAATTTTTGGCTTGGTACAGGCATGGTTCATGCTTGTGTTGTTCAGATAGCTGAAAGTAATGTCAATGTGTTCATTTTAAAGCTGAAAATTGTGCATCTGTTGTGGAACTAATGCTGACATGCTGTGGAAAAAACGCTTTATTCTATTTAAACGGTAGCAGAGAGGGGGTTCTGTGTCTGACCCGATTCTGTTCACTGGACTCGTTGAACGAGTGGTGTTTTAAATGGATAAAATGCTGTTATAAAGCTCAGCGCCGTCTCAGAACACTGTTAAATGCTGATCCGTTACATTTTTGACAGTAAATTGTGCATTTTGGAGGTTTAATGGGCGATTGTTGACCGGACTTTTCAGGCTAACTGCTAACAATGAGAGCTAGTATTCATGAGCTGTGATTGGATGAAAACCGCTGTTTGGGTCGCTCTGATTCTCTGAGAAACTGTTGACGTATCTGTGCGTCCGCTCCCTCTGATGTCAGATTGTAAAGCCCACCCCGTTGCTCACGTGTCTGTAAAGTCACATGACCCCAGAAATGTATCTCGGTTCAACCGAACCCTCCTCTGTGTTTAAAATCGCTAAATGAAGCCCGCCACTGTTCCCAAAACTCATGTTTTCATGCAGATAGACGTGCTTGCTAAAGCGACACCACGTTTAAGCTTTAAATCTGTTCAGAAAGTGCTGATTTGACCGTGTTCGACCGTGTGCTACGTCTAGCTAACGGCTAACAACCGGTTGTCAACAGAACAGTTCACAAGAAGTTGTCATAGACTTCTACTGGTAAAAATAAGCTTACACCGCCACCTGCTGTTGAAAGGGGAGTAAAACAGTTTTCCTGAAAGAAGGCTGCTCACTGTCTTTCATTTAAAATATTTTTGTTTTTGTTAATTCAGCCTGGTTTATGAGTTACTGTTTTAAATTTAAACTTTTATATTTTTTAATATTTTTTTATATAACTAGTTGTGTTAGTTTATTTTTGCTAATGTTGTTGTTTGCTGCAATTTGAGTAGGAGTGTAACGCAATTTCAATTTCTATGTATGTCCTGTACATATGCAGAATTGACAATAAAAATCAATCAATCAATCAATCAATCAATAAATAGCAAATTCTGGTAAATTAAACTGCTTAAAAAGCGTTTGAAAACTAAAGTTGCTGTAAGACTTCTTAGAAAAATTGTAGGTTTATTTAATTTTAAGTGCTTTATAGTAACTGAACACTGGAAAAAGCCTGGCTCTTGTATCTGTTAGAAATAAGCACATTAAGTAACTAGCTAAGAAAGCATTTACTTAGAATATTCATGCATTGGGGTAAAACCTACAAATAGGTGCCCATTCGTTTGAAGAAGTTGGCTTATAACAGTACTGTTGAGTGAACCCAGAGCTAAAATAGTATGTGAAACTCATTGCTCACTTAAATACAAATATTTACCTGTTAAAAACTCTGAAGTTGGCAACTGTTTCACCAGATAAGTGCTGAACAGTGAGTAACCATGGCAGATGTGACAGAAAAGAATATTGATCCTTGTGAGGAGAAGGACTGGTTGGAGAGGGCGTTAACGCTGCTCACAGAATCCTTAAATCCATATGGTGAACAGGTGGACAACATGAACTCAACAGAGTTATTGGACGAGCTGAAGGATGTTGCAGAGAGTGTGACTTCTACAGCCAGAACAAAGTCAAGCTATGACCAACTGGCTAAGTTGGCACTCTTGTTGAAAGCAACATTTTATAGGGAGGCAAACAGAGCTGACGACCTTGCAATAAGGTTAAACAGCGAAAAAGAGGAGTACCTCAAACTCGAGGCACAGTCTAAATTTGATCAGGAGACCCGTGCGAATGAGTTACAACGTGAGAGGGAGCTCTCACAAGCTCAGCTGTTGTTACAAGCTCACTCATATGAGGAGAAGATGAGGGAAAGAGAGGTTAAGTACCAAGCACTGTGTTCAGACAATGATACGCTACAACAACAGTTGCACCTCACATCAAAAGCTCTGAACGAATGCAGAGTGGAAAAGGTGGCGTTAGTCCAACGAGGCGTGTGTTTACAAAGTGAATGTCATACATCACAGGAATGCTTAAAAGCCTGTGAGGCGAAACTAGCCGCTGCAACAAATGAGATTTCTGACGTGGGGCGAGGTTGTCTGGAACTCAAAGACGAACAAGGTCAGAGTCCAGGTCACCCACCATCACCTCAGAAGGATTTTGCTGCACCTCCTTCTCTTAATCCCATTCCGTCACCTCCACATGTGTCTAGCGACACACCTCCACGTGCCATTTTGGTTCCTTCGATACCGATAATACAGCCTTTGCTCCCAATTTCGGATTTGCACAAAATTGCAAAATATGTCAACCGCTTTGAGCCAGGGCCATTGGGTTCAACTGACACTAAGGCCTATCTGGACAACCTTGACTTCCAATTGAGAAGCTATCCCAACGCTACAGTTGAGGATAAAGTAGGTTTGATCAGGCTCACTTCATCCAGGACGGTGTTTTCCTTCATAGAGTGTCAACCTGATGCCACAAGAAAGGATTACCGCCTGTTATGTGCTGCTCTTATGAAAGAGTATTCCCCTTGCACGGGACCTGGCGGTTATCCAGCCGCCGACAAGGTCATGCAAGGTAAGAATGAGCACCCCAGGGCATATTATTCCAGGATTTTGCAGGCTTATTTTGGTTACAGGAACGAGGCCAACATGGAGGAAGAGGAACCGTTTAAGTACGTGTTCAGCAAAAATCTCCACCCTGACATAAGGATGTCAGTGCAAATGATGGCTAATTTCAAAGAGAAATCCATCAATGAGATAAAAAGTTGTGCTGTGAATGTCTTTGAAGCACGTTCACAGGCCGAAACACCCTTTGAGGTGTACCCAGGTGAGTGGATTCCTGCCCAGTCATTAGAATTGGAAGGGACGAGAGCTTCGACTCCCCCTCCCAAAAAATGCGAGAGGAGACGAGGTTTC